TCGTGTCAAAAGGCAACTCTCTCTGTGTTGCAGTTTGTTTCAGTTGGTTGTTTCTAGTCATTTCCACACACACTGTAGGATTTTTACCTCTTGCTCTTTTCACCAAACATGATAGCAGAACCATCCCCCAGCTTTGTTTCCTCCACATCACACTCCATCGGTTTGCGCCCACGAGGATGTGCTACGGCTTGGAATCCATGCCGGTCCTTAGCCTTTTCCCCTGTTCCAGGCAGTCAAAATACAAAACGTCAGCTTCAGAGCGTCAGACTAGGTGCTTTTTTTTTTTTCTTGAATGGGATGCTTCCCAATATAATCTCCCATCTCTGCATCCAAGTTAAAAAAAAGAGAGACTTGGCAGGCAAAACAAATGTTCAGTCACCTTCAATGCTGCTCCATTCTGTCTCGAGAGAGGAGAGAAGCATCAGTATGTATTTCACTAAAGCTCCAGCTCTTCTGTTTGATATCCTGTTTGGTTATCGTGGTGTGCCTGTCTTTCTAACTCCTTGAGAACAGGGACCATATCCTAGAGTGCTGACTCTCCTGCAGAGAGAATCGGAACCCAACACTTTCACTCATCAATTGATTGACAGCATTTGAGCGGAGCACGGAACACACGTGATAAAGGAAGAGTCAGCCAAATGTGACAGCAATGATTGAAAATGTTCAGGGCTCTGAGAAAGAGGCGTTAACTTAACACAGCGGTCATTGGAGCCCCAGGAAAACCAGCCTATTCAAGCAAGTGATTAAGTTGCTGGATCTCTGAGGCCCTGGAATCCAAGTTTGGCTGATTCCCAGTGGGACTTGGTTGTGCGTGGCGGTCCTCCGGCCAGCATCCCCGCTGAGAACAAGGCCTTCAGGCTTTGCAGACTGCAGGTCCACACCCAACTGTCTTCAACATGGCCTTCAGTTTGAAGCCCTCCAGAGAGATCCCAGAGTGTGTGAGCTTTGAGAAGGGAGGTGAATGTTCCTGGTGGCTATGCAACTCTCCCTGGAAGTTTTCAGAGGGGAAGGGCTGACTCAGCCCAGCTGGCTCTACTTCCTAAGATGCTTTCTAGTTGCTGTGCTCAGTTAGCCCTGGGTTTTACCCTAGGGACTCCAGAGGAGGGCGCAGGGGCAGTGGAAGGAAGCTGATTGTGGGACTTTTCTCTTGCATTTCCTTCTGCTCTAGTTGGCTGTGTTGGATCTCAAAGGGCCGGAATGTCCGGGGGAGGTCCCAGGCCTTGGAAAGAGTCACCACCTGCTGCACCCACTTGCCACCTACAACTCCATGCACTTAGAAGGCAAAACTAATGAGGGCCACATAGGAAGTTAGGCGAGATCACAGGTCCCAAAATGGACTTTTCTGATAACCATGATAATAAGAGTCACTGGATGGGCTTTTCAATCTTCAGCTTCCCTGGAGATTCAGACATAATGGGTCTAGCAGAGGAGACTAATCATTTGTATTTTAACAGGGAACATGGTGGGGGATGGGGTGTATCATCTGGGAGGTTTGAAAAACACGAAAGAGATGCAAACAGAACAATGGTTTAGAAAGAGAGGGGTTGGGGAGAAGGGGCTGCTTCAAGTCGAGAAGGATGCCAGTGATAACAATACCCCATAATTCTTTATTTTTTTAAAGATTTTTATTGGGGAATTGGGAGGATGAGAACAGCGCTGGGGAATTGGGGGAAGGGGAACAGACAAGTTGCTGTCCTTTTGTTCTTCAGTCTAGTTGTGGAGGACGTTGCTTCACTGGCCCAAGTT